TTCAAACGCGCTTATCTCAGTAGCAATTTAAAATGAGGATTAAACCATCAAAAAACAGTATAACAGTATATTCTGAGCGCAATCAGCTGCCGCATTTCATCCACAAAGTATAGTCAATTCACTTTGCAGTGTGTTCTTTGAGGCGCGTTGAGACGTCTCAACGACATGATAAGGCGCTGTATCAAATGCAAGGCTTACTATTTTAATATCTGTTGCATCAATTCGCCTCAAGCGTCAAGATTTAATATTAATCATAAACTACGTTCTGCACCCTTCTCTTCACGGTTTTGTAAATCAAGACTGCGAACATTTGGGTCAAGAATCAGCAAACAGTCGAGGAAAATGTACAAACAGTCAAAGGGTTATTACACATTCTTAAAGTGGACTTTTAATTTTTGGAGTTTAAAATATATTTTCAATTTAACGGTTTTGAGTATGTTTCCCTTCCCCAACCCTGCTCGACTGTGGTAATGCTTTCATTCCCTCCAACAACCTTGTAAAATTGCACTTTGGGATGTCCTCCCGACGTGAAAGGTGCTCTATAAATGTAATTTTGTTGTTGTTGTAAAATAATAATAATACTTGCATTTGATTTAGTGCCTTATCACATCTTCGCGACTCTCAAAACGCTTCACAGAATATACTGTAAAGTGTATTGACTGTAAATTTTGTGGGCGAAACAAGGCAGTCAATTGCGCACAACAGTGTCCCACAAACAGTCATGGATTGAGTGACCACTTTTTTTTATATAAAGGGATTATTACCCCCCAGAAAGCGATCCACTAATCGACCGGTTTCCTACTTACTGCTGGGTAAACAGAGGCGTGAGGAGTAAGGAAACTTGTCTAAGGTTTCGCCTAAATGTGTTGGGCTTTCAGTTTCCTGGACTAGATCTGAAGGACATTTCTAGCCCTGCAAAGTATATTCATTTTCAGTTGGAAAGCACAATAAAGCAGTGCGGAGATCAACACCTGCACACTCGGTGCGTCCGTTGGTTGAATTACTGACAATTTAGCCGCAGCAGGAGATGCCCCTTTGATAACACTCTGAACTATTCTGAGAAAGCAAAGTTTTTAAATCAATTTAAATCTTTTTGTGTGTTGTACATTCATAGCACTGACTTAACATTCAGACTTTACAATTTAAGCCGGTTTGTCTATGCTACTATACACTGAGGTCATAATGAATGTCAAAAATTAAAGCAATCACTGAAATACATACGCTGTAATAAGCTTTTAATATATTAAAATAATAAACCTTGCATTTGATACAGCGCCATATGTCGTTGAGACATCTCAAAGCGCTTCACAGAATATACTGCAAAGTGAATTGACTGTTCATTTTGTGGACAAAACGTAGCAGCATGTCCCAAATTAATAATTTTTTTTGAAGGGATTATTACCCCCGGAAAAGTGATCCGCCAATTGACTAACTTACTGCTAGGTAAACCGAGAGCATATTTTGTGGGCGAAATGCGGCAGCTAATTGCGCTCAGCAGTGTCCCACAAACGGTCATAGATTGAGGGACCAATTTTTTTTTTAATATATGCATATGATTCAGATTTGGTTAACAACCCGACTTTGGGGAGGGAGGGGGTGTAAAGAAAATTTACCGCTTAAAGTTAACTTAGAATCCGTAGGGCTAAAATGGAGTTCAAAGCTACAGGAACGATAGCTTGCATTTATATAGTACCCTTCACATGGGGTAGCATCTCAGAGCTCAGAATTAGTCGCCCGCAGTCAAAATCCTTGTGCATTCTACACTGTGGTCTTCAACTAAGCAGTCGGGAGGAGCGCACTTTGCAACAGACAATCAAAAGTGTTGATAAGGACTCCATAGGGAACTCGTCTACATTATTCGGTACTGATTTTTGGATCAAACCATCTCAAGCAGTAAACTTCAAAACAGAATGGCGTCAAAATATTGTTTCACAGTGTAAGTAGCTCAATAAAGGACCCAGGACAAGTTAGGATACAGCTCATAAAGCAGAATAATTTATAAAGCTCTTTAGTTTAATTTAGTGTGAGGTGGTGGTGCAAGCTATCATTCTAATAGGGCAGACATGGGAGGAATAAGAATGGGGAAAAGAGTTGACAAGACAAAAGGTTGCAGGCAAGTGTCAAAGCGGCCGGGGTAAAAGAGAAGAGAGATTAAATTAGATTATTTACTACTCACATCAGAAGATTACAGTATTAATGAGTGCACCAGTTATAGTTCTTAATTAATAAGCAGCAAAATCTTACCAGGAAACTAATTCTAAGCTCAATATTTTTCCCCCCCATTGCCAAATTTATAAATTGGCCATGACATTTATCAGGTTACTTGAAGGAACACTTAGCCTCAGACACTTGAGAGACGTTTTGACATTATAGGCGCTAAATCAAACGCAAAGATTACCGTTATTCAGTCAACGTAATTCCATGCTTCTGCAACTTTAGAGGCACTGACAAAGCATCCTTTAACAATAAATTCACCAAGTATCGTTACCAGCGAGAGAATAAAAGGAACGCAATTTATATTCCTGCTTTCAGCCACTACGCCTGCCTCTGGAACGCTCTACCTCAATCCTTCCACCCTTCCTTGCCCGTCTTCTTCAACCGTGCCTAGAGTTACCTCCCCGCTTCCCTGGCTCGGTGTCAAACTCCGCCACTGTTAAGCGCTCTGAGATGTTACTCAGTGTGAAGGGTGCTAAATAAATCCAAGTTGTTGTTCAAGCGTATTGCCCAGTGATAAAGAAATAAAGACAAGGGAGTCTTTCTGAATTTTCGTGTATGTTACAATAATGTGATCTTTAAAGTATCATTTATATCTTGAGTGTCAGGGACTAGTTTACAGTTCATACACAAGGAGAGAAAGGCAGTTCAGCTGACACCACAACACACGCAATTCAGTTAAGAATTCTTTACCGCACTTTGCTTCAGCAACTGTCCAAGCCAGTAAATGATCCAAGTGATCGTTTCATTTTTGCCTTGGCTGTTGAACTTTTCTTTGCTCGTGTTTCTTCATTTACAGGTAAATTAAAGAGTATGTGTGTATGGAAGGGGCAGGAGGAGGGAAGAGGGAAGAGAAAGACACCTATTGTAAAATAAATGTAACACAGTAAACACCTTCACCCAATAAATACACGATCCACTTTACAGAATACTCTGTGAAGCGCTTTGAGGCATCGGGATGATGTGATATGGTGCTATATCAAATGCAAGGATTATTATTATTATTATAATGTATTTATACAAATGCCTAACTCGCCACTTCTAATAACTCATCACTGAACACTTTATTCCTTGGAGTAACAAGTTATCAGGAATTGACTGTATGTTTGGTATAAAAACTCAACAACCTTTCTCCCACTGGTATTACAATTGGGAACCAACAACTCAAGTAACACCTTTCTTTCGACCACACAGGTTCCAGACCACTATAAGATTAGGGTTTGCAACATCATCAAAATTACATTTGTATAGCGACTTTCGCATCGGGAGGACATTTATTACAATTAAATGAAACATTCCCAACTCCGAAACAAATGCCACTCAAAAAAAAAACGCATTGAGAGCAATCAAGTACTCACAAGCTGGTTTTGTGATTAAATTCATTAGAACGCGTTATAGAAAATATTAATGAATTGCAGAAGAAAAAAAACCATAATACCCACAATGGAGAGACGAGGTAACCGTTCGTTGTCTGGGCGATAATTTAACACTATATCGAGCACTTGTTTGTCTTAAATTAGCCCCCAAAAAGGTGCTTAGCCACCTGCATAATAACATGTGCAAATTTGAACGCAGTAGCCATCTAAAAATCACTGGAGACTTGCAAATCTCTGAGATGAAAGAGGTCACTGCATTAGTTAAACGGACGATTCTCGGGCTCACGAATCTTGCGCTTAACTGATAGAAACCAGGCAGATTTTCCATCAATTTCCAAGCGTACTATTTTGGCAGATTTATTCGTCAGCGCCAACTCCCACACCTCATTTTCGATGTTTGAGAGGATCGTGCATTGATTTGCCCTTGACATTAAAAGGCAGATAGACAGATATACGTTTCTATTTAACCATATTATTGCGAGAGAGAGAGAAAAAAGAAACACGCAAGCCACAGGTTTAACAGGCGGGTGGATATTATCTCACGAATCGCCGGCCAGTAACTCTACAGCAATCAGATTAAGAGTGGCGGTTTCGGAAAACATGGGGGATTTTAGTCCTCTCTCGCAAGCACCTGGTTCAACAGAAAATGTGACACCTGCAAAATTGGCAGGAATGAAAATAGCAGTGATCTTTTGCTGTGGTATTTGAAAACCTTGCGAAAACACAACCGAGTGGTACGCGTTATTTCAGTTGGTGCCTGAGGGCGAGGGTTACGTCACGGAATCTTATAGAAAGATTCCAATTGGAGTTTACGCTGCTTTTGGTGTTAAAAAGAACTCTGCGCAACATCCAAAGCTATGATAGCGCCTGTGATATGCTTAGCTCTGCTCAACAAATCGGCCTGTTTGGCAGAACCCTTTACTCCCGGTTTGAAGGTTAGAGGGGAGTTCCTGTGGGGTAGTGGTTAGAGCACTTGCCTCACAAGCGAGAGGACCCCGGGTTAGATTCCCAGGCGGGGCAAAACCTTACAAAAGTTTCCTTATTCCACAGACCTCTGCTTACTTAGAGTTAAGTTGGAACCCGGTTGTTAGTCGATGGGTGGATCGCGGACCACTTTCTGGGGGTTATAATCACCGAAAAAAATACTGGGTTACTCAATCCACGACTGTTTGTGGGACACTGCCGTGTGCAATTGTGGGTGAGTTTCACCCACAAAATACAGTCAATCGAATATATTCTGTGCAATGCTTCGAAAACGTCTCAACGATGCGAGAAAGCGCTATATCAAATGCAAGGATTATTATTACTAAGGGTGCGAGCTCAAGCCCTACAGGTTGACATCAGCAACGTAACAGAAATTATTTAATCACACGGCAGGGAAAATGGGAGGGAAAACGGCACGGCACTTACCTGCGTGTGTGCGGAGGTGCCCGCTAAGTGCATCCCTTCTCCGACAGGCGTAGTTACAGAACGGACACTTGAAAGGTTTTTCCCCCGAATGCAGCTTGATATGTCGCAGCAGGTTTCCTTTCTGTGTGAACGAGGCACCACACTGGTTACAGTGGAAAGGACGTTCACCTGAGCAAAAGAGATGGCCAGAAAGTGGTCAGTGACACCACGGGATAAACAGATCTTGGCTTTTTTTTGTATATAAATATTTTAAAAAACCACGACATTGGCTCTTCAACAGACGAGATAAAAAGGTTGTGCTCATTGACGTGAAAGACAACAGTGCTGTAAAATGGTTTCCCCTCCTGTTTTCGTCCAAGTGACGGACGGGACTGGCCCGCTAACCTCTCGGTTAGAAGGAACTTTGTTCGAAGCCAAGTGAAAGCGACGCCATGTTGGAAGCTTGATATTCAGATTGATACGTTTACCAAGTCGGTTTGCAAAGCCACTCACCACCCAGCCAGCCAACCCAAACCCGCACAGTTGATGGATTTTTTTGATGACTGCTGGAGACCATTGGATTTCTAACCTCTTCGGAAACGGCCTCTTAAACATCAGCGTGATTCTGAATCGGGCCATCATCACGATTGATTTAAAAACCAGGAGGAAGCGAATGAATGAACCCATCTTGAAAACTATCTGTTCTCACACAATGTACCAATCCAACAGAAGACAGAGTGTCCTATAATTCCTGCTCGCTGTGCCTTTACTATTATCTCCCCACCAATAAACCACTCTTTTCAGGTCTTTATTATGAAAGATTTGAGCAACATCAGAAGTTGATATTCTGCTACAAGCTACACAAAGAGTCTGCAGGGTGATCAGCGAGCGGGTTGTGCTTGAGATGTGCCAAAGGCAAGTTAGCAAAAGGAGCAATGGAACAGAAATCCTTAAGAGCACTGAAAAGTCCTCTTTACCAGCTGCCAACGGGTTCAAGCTTTCAAAAATAATTGCCAATGGAAGTCAAATTTCGCAATTGCGGTATTTGTCCACAAATACACAATCACTACACTTTACAGTATATTCTGTGAAGCATTTTGAGACATCTTGGAGACGTGATAAGGCGCTATCACAAAAAAAATGCAAGGATTACTATTATTATGGAAAACAAAGTTCCTGGTGAATTTGGTGCTCATGCAATGCAGGATGTCACTGTCGGGGAATGCATTAGGATGAACTAATCCAAAGAACTGGTACAAGGTGAAGCTCCCTCCCACCCACTGCGTCTACAACCCCAAGCTCTGGGGAGTTACCCTAGTTGACCCAGATATGATATTTCCATTCTCAGCCACCTCTGAAGGAAACTTGCTAACTTCTGGGTAGTTCTGAGCTCATAACTCCTATCCACTGGGTGCTGTACATGAAGTATTTAGCAGCTGGTTAGGTTTTTATTGTTTTCTGCTGAAAACAAATGGACTAAGGGCATTTGGTTTTTTAAAATGGGTGGGTGGGGAATATTCTAGGATTTTTTTGCACAACAAGGAAAGGTTTGGGGTTCCCAGAATTTCTCGTTTGCTTTTCCTGCTCTCCGCGTGTGCACAAAGTGGCACAGGCTGATGTAGCAGCCATCTGCTCCCAAAACCATAAGATATCCTTGGGACCGACGTGCGTGGCCGAGAAACAGGCAGGGCATGACGGGCAGAGAGGGCAGGCGGAAGCGATGAAAAGACACAAAAAAAACGGGAATTATAATTTGTGGGGAAATAAAGCAGAGGGAGACCCCAGCTATTGCCAGCACAGTCAGAGATAAATGTTTTAGCCCCAGTACATGCCACTCCATTTCTTTAGTTTGTGCAAACATACTTACCAGTGTGACTCCTCTTATGTACCATAAGGACATTCGGTCCAATGCAGACCATTCCGCATAGATCACACTTCAGTTTTCCATTAGGAAGGCGGATCCCTCCAGGAGAATGAGGTCCCTGCCCAACGCCCTCACAGAATCCTAGAGGGTCCAACAAAGACTCGTCTGCAAGGACCGCTTCCTCTTTATCACTAACACCATCCTCCTGTGCCAGAAGCCTCCCTGCCTCTTCATCGCTGTACATCTCAACCTTGATGGAGTTGGCTGCAAATGAACATCAGAATGTCAGATGGAGCCATAAGACGACAGGGCTAGACACTGTACAGGCACTGATCAAGATGGGCCAGCTGGCAACTTGCGTGAAGCAATCGCATTTTAATGACCATTTGGGTGGGAGCCTCAACCAAATAGCTGTGGGTTTGAAGCTGGAAAGTTCCCAGCATTACAGATTCCCTTTGCTAAACCCTATCCGGGCGTCACTGAGAGTCGGGGGGGTGGGAGGGGGGGGAAGGGGTCATCTACAGCACTGTTGTCCCTCAGCTTATGAGCACACAATGGAGATACAAATAGATAAGACACACTCTGGTCACCTCACTGCCCCGCACGACTGGAAAGAAGCGATTCTTCAGGAAGATCTAGACTGATGCAACAACCTGGACAAAAAAACGTGAAAGATGCACTCAAAGGACCACGGTTTTGGACAAGAGCAGAAGTGGTCTCACACTGGATTAGACCTGTATCAAGAGGACAGTAAATGATACAAACAACAGAACAATTTAATGAGAGCCACAGACAAACTCTAGTAGAGCGAAGCAAGACTGGGGAAGCCACAATAGTCAAGTATTGAGCACAGTAAATAAATAAATTCTTTAAATAAATAGAAGTTAGACCGGCAAAAAGCACAGCATCAATGAAAGTGGGCGTAAGCATGGGGGGGGGGGGGGGATGTGGATAATGCAATTTATTTAACGCTGGAACACCCACTCTTATAAACACAGGTAGCACTAGCTTAAAAATGCAACGTGGTTCAGATAATCAGAGAGTAATGGTAAATGAGACCACATAGTGAAACATGGAGGCACACACAGCAGGGAATTCTACTGTGGGGAAGAGAGGTAACGAGACAGCTTGTAAGTGAAACTCTGGCTTTCCCTCATCAGCGGCAGACTAGTGGTGCAGTCGGCCATCACCATCACAGTACAATCTGTACAATCGCTCAGTTTTTAGTAATCAACATTTCTAATAAGCGATTTTGTTTGTCAGCCCGGTGTCCGAGACATGCGAAAACCCAAGTATCCAGACCAAACTGAGAATTCCATACATTCCACCTAAACACGGAAATCCCAGAGACAGACTATTGGAATGGAATGCACATTCTCTCCCTGGAGGGAGACATCCTGCTTACCCAATTCCGGACAGTATTAGGCGCAGGTTGGCAAGGGCCAAGGCTTGGGGACCCAATAGGAAAGGAATAGGTTTCTAATTCAGACAGAATAGGGCAGCTATTTCGGGTGTGGAAACCAGCTGCTATGATGGCAACATTCATTGGCACAAATATGCTCAACAGGTAAGTAAATAGAGCCCCAATTTTTCTTTATTAGTGTTTTCCCCCCCAACCTCAGAGAAGCACAAGATCCTTCGGTGTAGAGTTGCCCACAAGCGATCTCAGTGAGATTGCTGGAAGGGTTCCAAGTTGGGGACACTTTTAGTGGGCAATTAATTTTCATCCCATCAGCTGGCCTGAGCTCAAAGGCAATCTCAGGATCCAACCTGCAAGATTGTTCCAGAGGCAAATTATTCAGATAATCCGCATTTGATCATTGGAAAGCCAAAATTTGAGGCAATTGCTCGGGGCAAAGAGGCAATTCTATTGAATGGAACATTTGGGCGTAGACTATTTATCCTGTGATTTGTTTTCCATCAGGTTAACCCCAAGCGGGCCTGGCCAAAAAGCTCCCGACTGCTCATATCTGCAACAACGCTGCCTCCTTCAGCCAGGATATAAGGCTGATCGGGTGCGGAATCCTGATTGTCCAGCGCCTTGTGACGTCCTCCTGACATGAAAGGCGCTATAACAAATGTAATTTGTTGATCAGACTGTGGAGCTCAGTCACCAATGTCAACGCAAAGCTGTGCTTCTGCCAACAAGCAGCCCCCGTTGCCATATACCCATCAGAGCACCAATCACGAGACAGTGAATCCCATCAGTCAAGACGGCAATTCAAACTCAGGCTTCAAGAATGGGTACCAAACCTTTCCTAGACTTGGTTCAGAAAAGAGCGTATCATTCTGGATTCTCCACAATAACATTTGCAATTGATAATTTTCATTACCATACATCTTGGTACGCTGAAAATGCAACAAAAAACATTGCGCGATTGGATTCAAAGACTCGAACAGAATGTGATCTTCTACATAACATTTCGATCTTAACGAATCTCCAGCAGGTTTTAATAGACTCCAGAGATGCTACGGGGGTTAATGAGATTACAGAGAATTACAATCCAGCGTTCGGCTTGCATCGTGGTGGGAGTTTAATCCGTAACAATCGCACAATTTGTCTCAGAACTCGGCTTTGACTACGGTCTCCCTTTAAGGATTAAAATCTCGCCAAGCCCCTCAAGTTGAAAACAAAAATATTAAAGCCACTCGGGAGTTACCAAAATTCAAGACCTATTATTACGAGGTTGCAATCTGTATCTGTGCAATTCGTGGATGTGTTAACGAGGATCCCCGGGTCAAAAAAGGAGGAAATGCACCGTCCCGAATCCTCTTTAATTTGACAACCCTGGGTCTTTCAGTTCTCGACGCGCGAGATCAGTCTGAATGGTAAAAAGCACTCTGGGCTTTGTGTATCAAGATATCGAACTCAGAAAATACCATGGCAACCAATGGATTCGTCGTGGCAGCAGACCGTTCTGGTGCTGTTAAAGAGACTGCCGACCGAGAATCGACGGAGATCGCTAAATAAGTTAAGCGCAAAACGTATACGCCAACGCAATTACAATTTTTTTTTTTTTTTTTAAATCTCTTCTTCAGAATCCTAACCATTCCCTTCCATTCTTTACGCCGCCCACCCTTCCGAGGCACCGTGAAGCAGCCGTGCGACACTCTGGCCTCCGCCACTTGAATCGAGCAGTATGTTGCGACACCGGCGGCGTGCGACGCGACGCCACGGGGCCCAGTGAATTCTCAACGTACTTAGCAGAATGAAAGGGCTCCCGAAATTAAATGAAAGCAACCAATTTGGAGCCGCACCTTCTATTATATAAGAAAAAACTAATTTATTTTATACAATAAACTGAACCACAAGGACGTTTAAATGCAATGCAATGCAATTGTGGCAGAAAATGTGAACTTGTTGCATTCATCTACAGACTACAGGTATTATGTTTCAAGGCAGATTCCGTGAAGCGCTTTGAAATGTCCTCCCGACGAGAGAGGCACTGTATCAAACATAAGAATTATTATTATATCAAACACTATGTAAGTACCTGGACATCCTTTTCTCTCCTAATCTCTGTATTCGCTTTAACCATTACCCCCTCTATTCTCAGTTCCCGGACACTCAAAGGAAATGCTAAATGGATAGCCAGATCTTTGAATGTGGACTGCTGCTAAATCGGTGGATTAGAGAAATCCTGATCCGGGCATAACAATTCTTGGCAACTAACCTCTTTTATCAGGATTTATCTGTACAACACGGATACGGTGCTTTGCAAAGTTCCTGTTTGTAGCCTTAAGACCTCCCTGTGGTTTCCAACACGCGGAAAGGAAAGCTCAAGGCTTTTTTCGTTCTAGTTATCTGGAAGTATGTCTACTTTGGGTACAGAGGAGCGTTGTAGTTGGCGTATGGAGAGGGGAAGAAGAGGGGTGCGAGAATGAAGCATGGAAAAGCAAGCACGCATTTATCCCGGTTAGGATAGATGATTAAAAAGAATCTTGCCTGTGACAGCTTAAGGCTGAAACTCCATTTGACATTCCAAGTAGCAACGTGGACAGTGTGGGATTTCCCCCCACATTATAATACCGCACAGTCTTCATCATTGGACGGAAAGCTGACCGGAATTTCAGCACTCCGGAGATCAGCTCATCTCCGGATTGAGTGACGACTTTTTTTTTTGGTTAAAAGGAGGGATTGTTATCCCCGGAAAGCGATCTGCCAATCGACTAACAACCGGGTGCCTCCTTACTCCCAGGTAAACTGAGGCGTGTGGGAGTAAGGAAACTTGCCTAACGTTTCACCATAAGCAGTTCGAAACCCAGGTCTTCTCGCTTGCAAGGCGAGTGTTCTAAAATTACAACACTCCACGTTTTACAGCTCAGTAGGTGTTCATCGTCTGTCTCCCTGCTGACTCTCTAAATGGCCAGGACACTGTTAAAGCACAGATATTTTTTTTTAAAAATCATTATTTTTAGATGCAATTAGAATTTATTTTTTTTAAAAAAAAGTTTGCCCATCTACTCAACTTTGCTGGCACCTCAAAATGGTACCCAGAAATGAGCAGAACCCCGAGGCCCAGAATTATTGGGGACTGGCCCTCACTGAGCCTCAGCCAGAAATTGAAGCATAAAGCATCATTTAGCAAATTTAGTAAAACTTGTTAACGGGAGGAATCCGTCGGATTTATTGAGAGTAATAGCCAGGAACGTATATGTGGCAATGATGTGCCATGGATTCCATATGTACCCAGAGGCTGAGATCTGTGGTGTGGGATTCAGCTGGATATAAAAGGAATTTGTGCACTGAATATGCTATTTTCGTTAAAATACGTTAATCACGGTGAAAATAAGATGCACTTTGCTCAATGAGGGGCACTCTAGCTACAAAATGCACAGCATTACTGTATTACAGCTCTTGTGAAGCGCTTTGAGACGTCTCGACGACGTGATATCCACTGTAATGTTTATTATTTTTGCCTCGAGTTTACTTTAATCGAGTGCAGTTTAAAGTTGGGCGAGATGTTGGGCAACTTTCCTTACTCCACACGCGTGTTTACTTAGCAGTAAATAGGAACCCAGTATCAAATGCAAGGATTATTATTATATTAAATAAGGTTAATGAAGCAATACTCCACGCTGTTTTCTGACTGTATGGCCTATTTGCATCCTAGGAAGCAAGCAGATTTGCCTGGTTCCTCTAGTTTGGGGGCTTCAGGAGAGACCCAAAATGAGCTGATACTGTTGCCCTAAAACTGAATGAGTTTACTTTAAGATGGCAAGGCAAATTATTGCACCCAAATCATGTACCCAAATTGTTGGCT